ACCCCATTTCCTGTATATCTTATCTCCCAGTTGCATATGAAAACAATTTTTTTAAACATTTGTTTTTAAAACTTTGGGTTCCAAATTTTCTCCCTTCCTCCCTCCCCACCCACCCTCATTGAGAAGGCAAGCAACTTGATGCAGGTTATACATGTGTAGTCATGCAAAACACTTCCATAGTCGTCATGTTGTGAAAAACTAAGTATATTTCCCTTAATCCTATTCCACTCCCCATTTATTCTATACTCTCTTTTGACCATGTCCCTCCTTAGAAGTGTTTGCTTCTGATTAGCCCCTCCCCCAATCTGCTCTCCTCTTTATCATCCTCCTGCTCTCTTGTCTCCTCTCCCCCCTATTTTCCTGAAGGGTAAGAGATTTCCCTACCCAATTGAGTGTGTATGTCATTCCCTCCTTAAGCCAAATAAAATGAGAATAATATTCACTCATTCTCTCTCACTTTCCCCCCTTTTCCCCTCCACTATAAAAGCCTTTTCTTGTCTGTTTTATGTGAGATAATTTACCTCATTCTACCTCTCCCTTTCTCCTTCTCCCAGTATAATCCTCTCTCACCCCTTAATTTTATTCTTCAGGTATCACCCCTTCATCTTCAACTCACCTTTTACCCTCTATTTATCATCTATCTATATACATATAAATTTTTTCCCCTTTCATGAGTTACAAATATTATCTTTCCATGTAGGAAAGTAAACAGTTCAACCTTAATAAGTCCCTTATGATGTCTCTTTCCTGTTTACCTCTTCATGTTTCTCTTGAATCTTGTATTTGAAAGTCAAATTTTCTATTCAGCTCTGGTTTTTTCATCAAGAATGCTTGAAAGTCCTCTATTTCACTGAATATCCATTTTTTTCCCCCTGAAGATTATACTCAGTTTTGCTGGGTAGGTGATTTTTGGTTGTAATCCTATCTCTTTTGACCTCTGGAATATTATATTCCAAGCCCTGCAGTTTACTCCTTTCCTAGCTTGTGTTCTGGTCTATGAGTGACCATAAGCACTCTTTTCTGTCTTGGAACAGTGAGGAAGATTTCCTCTCCACCACCACTGCAAGCTCCACTATGCCAGCACTCCTCCTTGCCCCAGGACCACCACCCAGAACCATGACCCAGATCTAAGCATGGACAAAGCAAGAGAATCCTGCATCAGCAAAGAGATCTCTGCAATACCTCTCTTATCAACCATTCGATTCCCCCTCATTCTGTGGACCAGAAGCTCTGGAAGCAGCTGCCGTCCCAGGGCCACACACAGGGACTGGGGCTGGGACCAGCTTCTCTCTTACCACAGTCACAGACTTTTCCTACTGACATTCTAAGTTCTCTTTGGCATTCATGGGTTGAGAAGTCTGGAAACTGCCACAGCTGCCCATGATTCAGTCCTCTGAGGCCTGCTCCAGGTTCAATGAGGCCTATTTTGCCCATGTGCCCACACCAAACTGTGTTCCTCTTCCCACCTTGTGCAATAGACCTTTCCAATCAACCATCCAGGTTGTCTTGGGCTGGAAATTTGTTTCACTCTGTTTATGGGTTCTACCGCTTTAGAATTTTTTAGAGCCATCTTTTACAGGGAATTGGAGGGGTTTGGGGGAGAGCTCAAGCAAGTCACTGCATTTACTCCCCCACCATCTTGACTCCCTGGGGTTCATATTCTTAAAGATTTGACAAAGTTCTTTATATATTTAAGATATGAGACCTTTATCTGAGGAGCTGTCTATAAGTTTTTTCCCCTAGTTTTCTGCTTTTCTTTTCATCTTGGCTACATTGGTTTTATTTATTTACAATCTTTTTAATATAATCAAATTTATTCATTTTATACCTCACAATGCTATCTCATTTGTTCATAAATTGTTCACCTATTGATAAGTCTGATAGGTAATATGTTCCATGTTCTTCAAATTTTCTTGTAATATTTCCCTTTATATCTATCCATTTTGACTCCCCCTTCTGCCGCACCTCATCCCACTGTCAAGTTACTTCCAAGGTCTATTTGGGGGATGGACCCAGATTGGCCATGTGTCATTCCCCATCCAGCTGTACTTCTGATTCCAAATTTCAGCATCAAGACTTAACTGCCTTCTCATTCTGGAACTTCCTCAGCACCTGGGACCTTCTCACTCTTGAACATCCCTGTCATGGCAGTCCCTTTCTCCCACTGGCCTTCCTTCTGAAGGCCTCCATTTTTAATACAGGCTTGGGCAAATTCCTCTATACCCATCAATATTAGACAAACAAAAAGCATATTAGTTCACTATAATAAAAAAAAATCCTAGTTATCTATAAAGATAGAAAAACCCTTTGACAAAATAAAGCATGTTAAAAACACTAAAAGGCACAGAAAAAAGACTTTAAGGTAAATTGTAGCTAAAAATCAAAGAACTAGCATCATTTGTCATGAAGAGACATTAGAAACTTTTCCAATAATATTAGGTGTAAAAAAAAGGATGCCTAGTCACCATTGTTATTTGATGTAGTTCTGGAAATGTTGGCAATAGCAAAAAGAAAAATACATTGAGTAAATGGAAAGGGAATAAGCATTTATGTAATACCTACTAGGTGTTGGGTCATGAGCTAAGTGCCTAACAAACTGCTCATTTAATAAGCATAATGAAAAAGAAAATTTAAAGACTCCTAGAGGTCCAACAAAAGTTGAAAAAGTAATATCTTCAATAAAATTCTGACATCCAAACATAAGGGTTTAGGGAAAAGGTTATATGCAATCCCAGAGCTAAAATGCCATAAGGGAAGTCAGTATAAGAAAGAAAATTTAATTCGAGAATTTCCCCAAGAACTCAAAGACAAATAATTTTAACAAGGTATAAAAATGAGGGATTTTTATTTTTTATTAATTTTTTTGGGGGGAGAAGGGAACATTGAAAGAAGTGAGGAAAGGGGTTGGGGGGGAAAGAGGGCAAAAGAGAAAAGAAAACAAGTTCAGAAGGGGACATAGCCAAGCAATTCAGTGTTGGTACTATACTGAATTTAATATGCATTTTAATTAAAAAAAAATTTTTTTTCCTTTAGGCAATTGGGGTTAAGCAACTTGCCCAGGGTCACATAGCTAATAAGTGTCAAGTGTTTGGTCTGAGGCCAGATTTGAACTCTGGTGCTCCTGACTTCAGGGCTGGTGCTCTGTCCACTGCACCACCTAGCTGCTCCAAAAGTATATCACCAAACTAGAATTTAATATACATTTTAACAAACTCTACTTAAGAGATTTGGTTTCATGTACAACCCTCTTTCATTCTTGGTATATGAAAATGTTTGTCAAGATCATAAAAGAAAATTCAAGTATGAATGTACATATTAAATCGAGAAGATAAAAGGGCAGATAGTGCTACAATTCAGAGTAGAGACAAGCTCAGGACAATAGCTTAGCAAAGAAGAAAGGGATAAGGCCCTTCTGGGAAATAGATGGTACAGTACTTCCTCACAGAGGAGGCAGCTGTTCAATTCTTATTGTGTCTTTGACCAAAGAGAATGAACTCTGTACTAGAAATGATAGAATAATGGCTCATGGAGTTTTTAAACTTAAGGAAAGAATGAGATGCTCTTGATCAATTTAGTCATCTGACCCAGATAAACAAGGGTCTTACCTAGTGAGGAACTGGTGGATATGATTGTTTAGACCTGGTCAGTGATAGTTGAAGGATTATGAAAAAATGGCAGTATTTAAGGAAAACACTATATACAATAGAAATTCATGGATTCATATATAATACTGTTATTCTTTGGTTATTAACATTTGTTGATTAAGTTGATATACTTTAAAAAAAAAAGTACTAAGACGACAAGTATCTTGATTTTCAAAAAAGTGAAAATTATGGAACATCCATTGTATAGGTCAATAAGTCTTTGGTTCCCAGAAAAATTCTAGAACATATATTATCAAAGGTATGGTTAATGAACATCCTGAAAGAAGAATCAAGTCACAGAGCAAACATAGTTTTGTCACCAACAGGTCATGTTAGCCTAACTCCTTTCCTTTTTTAACAGAGTTTAGTCTAGTAGATCAGAGGAAAGTGGTAGAAATATTTGACAGAAGTATCTAACAAAATTCCCTCATGTTATCCTTATGAAAAATAGAGATGAAGACTTAAAAAAATGACTACATTTAAAGAAGAGTTATTCATGTCTTAGCTTGGAATAGAGTCTGTAGAAGAATGCCTCAGTGGTCTCCTTTTGTGCTTAATATCTTTTATCAGACTCAAATATGGGATAGTTAGCAAGCAAAGCAAGCAGCAGGTGGCAAAAAACAAAAAAAAAAAGAGGCAGCTGACAAATTGGATAAGAGTAAAGATTCAAAGATACCAATAGGCTAGAATACTAGGCTTCCTCTTAGAAAAAGTTGTGGAAACTTACCATTAAGAAAATTTGTCATTAGGGAAATGGCTTACACTTGTATTTTTTTTTTTTAAACTTCACAGGTCCAAGATAGACTGTGTAGAAAAAATGATTTGAATATTTTAGTGGATTTTAAGGACCTTGATATGCTGAAGAACATGCAGAGGAAGGTTACTCCTCACACTAACAAGTTCAGTTAATGTCCATGCTATAATAAACTCTATTAGCAACCCCATAATGACAAGAGGAAGGGGTTAGATATCACAAAGTTGTGTTGCTGTTTTTTGGGGTTTTTTTTTAAGTCACAAAACAGTTCTCTTAGGTTTATTACTGTTAGAGACTGTAGATCCAAAGGTCTATTCAAAGTGATAGAGACAGGATATGCTTAAGAGCCCTCTTAGTTTCAGTAAAGAGGGAGTTGGGATTTAACTATAAACTGCAAACATTTCTCTATTTCTATAGTTAAAGTCCTGTAACTCATGCTACTTTTTTCTAGTATAAGTACTAATAAAATAAATGAATTAGTTTTAGAAGGTGGTCTCCAGCATAGATGCAGGGAGCTATAGAAAGAGGACAACGGTTGACTATAACCCTGAATACAATTACCTTCACTCTTAAGAAGCAAAATAAAACTGATGCTTGAATGATTTCATTAAGCAAGCTCATTTATTAACTTGCAGCTCTTTTTCTGCCTGGCATGCATTTAACCAGACAAAGCACCACCACAACAAATATCTCTGCTATTAGGATAGCCCCTACTTGAAGGGCAATACTTGTTCCTTCATACCAAGGCCCTTCAGTGTCCGCGGGTCCTAAAAGGCAAGGCAAAAAGATTCAAGAGTCAGATGTTAGGTAACACCTACATTAAAATTAAGGTAGTCATTCTTCAAAGTTTCCATTATAAAAAAGATCAGTTAGTTTTAATCATTTGATTTTAAGTTAAACTTTTTGTTCGGGCTTGACTATAGTATCATGATATTAAAAGGCCTAATTGTTTGAATCAGTCCTTTTCCATCTAAATTTTCATTTGCTAATAAAGATCTAGTGCTAAAGGATGAAGTCGATTCTTGATCAGATGAGAACTTTTGAAAACAAATATAGTTAATTGGTTTAGGAGTTTGAGACCAAAACAATATTTGGACCTATAGTTAAATAATTCAAATAAATAAAAATAAATTTCTCCAGATGCCTTGTGTCATACCTCTAAATGAGGGGGCCTGATCCAATACCAAGACGACAGGTCCAGGAAGACTTGCTATTGTAGACTTCTCTTCAATGACATCTTTGAGAGAGAAAAAATATGTATGCATATATACATATCCATGTATATTTAGTGTCACCATCTGGTCATCTTGATTAATGGTTAATGCTGGGTTTATGAGAGCAAGTGCTATGAAATGCCTTGTCCTCTGTGTACTGCTGTAGGCATTCTTGTTAGGACTAGTGGAAACATTACTATTTTGATCTTATTTTTTAAATGAATTCTAATTTCTCGTTCTTGATCCTAGTGAAAATTATGACTTCATTTACAAAAGGCAAGATCCACTGATGAACATTGGCCTCTAGGGCAAATTCAGAACAATGGTTCTACAATAAGATGGTATCCTTAAGATTTTTTTTTTTAATTAATTTATGGCTCTAGTCAAGTAACTTACTCTCCAAGGTTTAAGAGGCAATGTTAAGGACTTCTTAGAGTTAGGCAAATAGCTAAATACATATTTAAAGTAGGTAAATACTGCTCTTAAGAGGTACCACAATATGACTAATGTGGAAATATGTTTTACATGATTGCACATATATAACCTATATCAAACTGCTTATTGTCTCAGGGAGAGGGGAAAGAGCAAGGGAGAATTTGAAACTGAGAATTTTGAAAAAAGTTAAAAATTGCTTTTACATGTAATTGGGAATAAAAAAATAAGTTTGTTTTTGTTGTTGTTGTTGTTTTTTTTAAAAAGAGGTGCCAGATATAATGCGTACTACATTCAGTGCTGAGGGTACAAAGATGAGGAAGCCCTGCCCAGTGAGAAATGTAGTCTGGGGTATAGGACAGAGAATGACAAACAGATAAATGACTGGAAAGCGATAAAGGAGAAACCGAAAGAAAATGCTCTAGGAAAGTCTAAGGAAGAGGAAAAGAACCCCACAATTCCTCCCCCTCAGCTGAATCAGGAAGCCTTCATGGAAGATGTGGCACTTGTGCCTTAAAGACAGCAATAGACTTTAGCAAAGATGTGAGAAAGATGACTATTTTATTATATTAACCAGTTTTATACAGGACTCAAAGATCCTTTTTCTGTTCATTCAAAGCCTAACCTTCCAAGGATATTTCTGACCTGGCCTAAAAATTCATCCCACCCAGAGCATCTTATCTAGGTGGAATTCTTAGCATAACCCCATTCCTTGTTCTACTCAGGTAGGACTGGGTGGAAGATAGATCCTTTTGTATAGACTGCTGGAAGTGGAATGATCTGGGTGGAGAGGAGTCTCTTTCTCTAAGAGGGAGATCAGCAAAGTCATGGTTTCTCACGCCCCACCCAGCCCTTCATTAGAATAAGCCTACCTCTCATTATAATATTCATTCTCTCAGTGTTAACCAGAGTCGATTTCCACCTCAGGTAGAGTCCCTTTCCAAAGGTATCTAAACATTCAAGCAGCCTCCATGTGGGGTCTGGTTTTAGAGGGAACCACTGACCTCAATTTATGATCTGCTGTCCTAATTAGCCCAGAAACTCTTGGACTTTTCATTTGTCTCAGCTGGGGACAGCTTATATGAAAGCACAAAGGTGCCAGTTAAAGATTAAGGAACAGAAGTTCTCTTACCTCTTAAGGGCAAAGCTTTTAGAACTTTAAGCCTGTCACAAAGCCTTTAAGTATTTACCTCTTTTCATCCTAGATGACCCAGGACAAGTCACTGAACACAAAGGCGAATCTGGATAGAACTGGTCACAGAGCAAGACACTGCAGTGGAAATAGATCTAAAAGATAAATGAACAGGGGAAAGAAAGGAGGTTAGCCAGTCTAATGGGCCATCTCACAGGAGGGCCAAGGCAACTTAGGTCACTTACCAGGCTAGAGAGAGCTTGGCCACCAGCTACGAAGGCAAAAGTCGTAACTTCAAACCTTTGGTAGTGATTGGGATAGTTCACCGAAGAGCCTACATGATGGAATTTTGTGCGGTAATTGTCCAGTGTGTAATCACAGCTAGGAAGCAAGATACATACGTCATCATTTGACCCCTGTCAAACACAAGGTTCCTGGTGCAGCTTGAACCAAATTAAAGTGTAATTGGGAAATATTAGACAAAATAAGTCAATATAAAATTATACAGATACTACTACATTTTAAAACTAAGTCAGTATGAGGCCTGGGGATCCTTATGCATGGATTAATGGTGCCCGTTTCTATTGCAGTTTGATACCACTGGTTTAGATGTACTCTATCTCAAGGTTTATAAACACAACTTCTAGCTACTCCAAGAGATACATCTCTGGTCTACCAATAAGCATGTATTAAGCACCTATGATGTGCCATGGCACTGTGCTAAGCCTTATGCTCACAAACCCTAGCTTCCTTTGCTGTTTAAGCATTTAAGATATACTGGCTCTGAACATGCTCTTAGATTCAAGGGGAAAACACACTTGAAATAAGAGTCACCAGATTATGCTTGCCCCTATCCCCATCCTGGTTCAGGCCAAGGAACCTCAATAGCTGCTGCCCATCTCAGAAACCATGCCTTGGAGAAATTTCTATCCTGGGGCCCTGCTTTCATAACCACTATGTCAGGGAAGCCTTAGCCAGGCTTTATTTCACTCCCTTCCTTTCCTTGCCACCTCATCCATAGTGCCCCTATCAGCCAACTGATATTTTCCCTTTCCATATCTCCCCCCATTCCCCAGTTCTGGTGCTATGAACCATTATCAAATCAACTGTCATAATTCCCAGATGGATTGCATCAACCTAGTCTCACTATTTCTGTAACTTTCCAGAAAAAGTTCCCTTCTCTTGCCATTATTCTCTTATATGCATTGTCTTCCTCATCAGAATGTAGGCTAGTGCTCAAGACATAACAGCCTAGTAAATGCTGTTTTCAATCATTTCAAGGAGGCAGTCCAACTTCACCCTTCCTATGAACCCAAGTGACTTTGCATTATTCCATAGGTGGCTTGTTAATTTGATCATCAGAATTCTGCCCCCCCCCCCCAAGAACTAATTAGCTTAAAGGTATTTTATATAGGCCTTACCCATCCACAATGATATTCCATCGGGGCAGAGATGTAGGGTCCACCGATGCTGTTGCCCAGCAGTCATCTAAAACTAGTTTGATGTTTGGGTCATTTCTATTTATAACTTGTACTTCCATGTAAATTGGTTGACGCAGGTATTTCACTATTGGGTACTGATCATCCCTATATGGCTGCAGATAGGACTTGTCTAGGAAAGGGAAAACTTCTTATAGGATATTGGAATAGTTTTAAGACCAAAGTAGAAATATGAGGGAGCCACATAATAGAAGAATACCAAATGAGGTTCAGGAAGACCCAAATTCAAATCCTACCTCAACTACTTACTAGCTGTGCTACCCTGGACAAGTCACTTAGATTTAGTTTTCCCATCTATAAAATGGGATAATAGGGGAAAGGGAAGGGAATAAGCATTTATTAAGTGCTTACCATGGTATTAGGCACTGTGTTAAGCTCTTTATAAATGTTCTCATTTGATCCTCACAAGAAGCCTGGGAGGTGGGTGTTTTTATGACCTTCATTTTTTATAGTTGAGGAAACTGATGAAGGTAGGGGTTAAGTGACTTGCCTAGGGCCACACAGCTAGCAAATAAGTGAGGCCCTATTTGAACTCAGGTCTTCCTGACTCCAGGGCCCAGCACTTTATCCATTGACACCAGCTGCCTCTATAATAGCACCCATGATGTGTTTGTTTCAAGAGCCAAACAAATAGATAAATTGCTTTAGAAGTATTGAAGCACTATAAAAATGTTATTAATATTATAATGTACTAATACTGTTAATAATAGAAACCACCAACAATAGCTACTCAAGCATAACCAGGATTGTATAAAATTAAGTCAGCAAGAAGTCACTTTGCCAACAGGGACTGAAATGCACATAGGCTGTGGAAAAGTGACCAACAAAAGGAAATTGGACTTGTCTTGGAGAGTTCAAGTGTCATATAATTATGCTTCTTGGAAGCATTTGTATTACTCTTACCTGGGTAGATCTGAAGGATTAAGGAAAGTGGTCCTGGTTTCACTGAAGGGATTGGAGGAGGAAGACTGCTGATATTTGTTCTGACCATGAGGTCACTGCTGCTGTAATAGCATCTCACTGTCAGACTAAGGGAGGGTCAGGGTGGGACAGGGAAGACATGAAAGTAAGTATTTCTAGTTAACCAATTTGACTTGATACTGACCCGGAGGGACTTAATACTGAGCCAAGAGCTCTTACCTGAATTCACTGTCTCTAGTAATTTTGCTTGGGGAGACGTCTGCCCAAAGAGCATGGATTTCATTTTCATAGATAACTTGGTCTCCTTCAAACTTCAGGACAGTTTAAGGAAGAATTCATTAGTAACTGGTTAACTTGAGGAGGGGCAGGTCTCAACCTCTTAGCCTTCCCCATTACTAACCTTTGCTCTTGTTCCACACCCATTCAGGGGTATGTGAAATCGAACCATCTCCTGAGAGGGATGCTTAAAGTCCGGTCCGCAGGCTGCGTCTCTTACTTGGAGCGTATCCAGGTTCAAGGCTGGCTTCGTTTGATGGCTGTAGACTTCAAAGTCCATAAAGCCATCTGGGGTACAAGTGCTATTTGTAACTATAGTTTATAGAGAGGAAAAATTTGTTTATTGAATTTATAAGCTGCTAACTTGTCACAGCTTAGTTAAGTAAAGGTAGAGCACTAGGCCTCGAGTCAGGAACACCCAAGGTTCAAATCCAGCCTCAGACACTTACTACTGTGTGACCATCTGTCAGCCTCAGTTTCCTCAACAGCAAAGTGGGAATAATAAAAGCATCTACCTTCCAGGGTTGTTGTGAGGATCAAATGAGAATTGTAAAATACTTAACACACTGCCTAACATATAATAGGCATTTTGTAAATGCTTATTCCCTTCACTTCTTCCTGTTTAAGAGAGTTTTACCAGATAAAATGCTGCTTTAAGACTTCTAGTAGTCTGACTACTTTGATAGAAATTTTAACATTCTTCAATTCTGGGCAACTCACTTGAACTATATGTCCACAAAGGCTGCTATGGCCAGAACGGAGAGGAGGGAGGGAAAAACCAAACACAAAAAAACTACAATTACAAAACCAATGTCAAATAATGTCCTTACCTACTGAAATGATAGACTCACAGGTTTCAGGATACATTATCACAGATACCATCTCCCCATAATACTGAAAAGTCAGCTTTACTGAAGGTAAATAAAACTGAACACCTGCACCATTCTCAGATACCTGAAAAGAGAATAATTTAAAGATTAACGGCTTGTCATCAGGGCTAGTATGGGTTACCAGAGGTCATCACTGAAGACCCTCAGGATGTTTATAGATTTGCTTTTAGTGGGTTTTGTTTTGTTTTGTTTTTATATAAAGTCACCAAGTCAAGGGATTGTAGATCATCTCATTAGATCTGGAAGCTTCTTGAGGGCAGGGATTATTTCCCTTAGTAAAATGATGTCTGTGTGATAAATGTTTTAAGCCCTATCCAAGGTCAAATACAAGAGACTAGGAGAAGCTGAGACCATATACAACCTCTTTTTCTTTCCCAAACTACCACACTTTATCCAAGGACATAGAAATACAAGTGTGAGATAGTAGAACAGTTATTAGACTTGGGAGCAAGAAGACCCAACTTTAATTCCTGACTCAAACATTCACTAGCTCGCTATGCTAGTCCGGGCATCTCACTTTACTTCTCTGCCTTCACTTTCCTCATCTAAGAGGAGGGTTGAACTGCATCTTCTCTAACCATTGTCCCAGCTTGGACATTTTGGGAAGATGTGTAAGTGGGTAGTAGTTATCAAAAGCCAGTCATTCTGTTCCAAATGAGGCAAAGCCTGTCTTGGGTCTTTACTCAGACAATAACATTAAAACAACTAGAAGTTACTGGTGTGAGGAGAAATATCCAATGTCACAAGGCTTATTACAGGTCCCTGCATCCCCCAATAGTCTTAACTCAGTAGGAACACAAGATCTTAGATTTAGAGCTAGAAGTGATCTTACAGGTGATTGGGCCCCATTTCCTTCTTTTAAAAATGTGGATACTGAGTACCAGAAAGATTATGCAACTTGTCTAAGGTTACTCAGTAAGTGGCAGAGGTGACATAAGGAGCTCTAGTGCTCTTTGTACTATACCTCTGTAATAAGGACAGATGTCAGTAGTGAACAAATCTCCAAGAAAAAGTTGTTTTAATAGGGAATTTTAGATGGATTTCCATTAAGGGTAGAAAATATAAGGTTTGCTATTTAGGGGGAGGGAAAAGTATATGACCTTAGGTTACCAGGAAAATTCACTTAGAGTGAACAAGTCATTTGCTGAACCAGAGAGCAGTTACTATGTTCCAGTCTTTTATACTACAGGAAATTAGGTGGTCAACACATTAGCTTCCTGGGATCTTAGGATTGTAGGTGACCTTTGGTGTAGATATTTAGTCAAATCTCTTCATTTTAATGAGGGATGTCTGAATTTCTTCAAGTCACCAGAAAGGTAGAATACTTTATTTATTCCTTCTTCCTTTGACAGGAAGCTTTGACTATAAGCCAAGAGTTGTCCCGATTTAAAGAAACTTACTTTAATGTGTTTTTATTTTAATAATTCCCAATTACATTTTTTAAAAATTTTCAATATTTAAAAAGATTTGAGTTCCAAATTCTCTCCCTTCCTCTTTCTTGATAGGGCAAGCAATACATCAATTATATATGTGAAATCATGCAAAACACAAGAAACTTACTTTAGATTTCAAAATTTGTTTGTTGAAATGTAGTCTTGAGCCATTTCTTAACTCTACAGCAATGCCACTGGTCTTTGACGAATTCATGGGAACATTACGATTCTCTATATTTATGGCCGTCAATGCCCCTGGAAACTCTGGTATAATAAGAGTCATGTGGGTTGAATTACAGGTGACTGGACCTGGAAGAGAGATCAGTATTACTTATGTTAATCTTAAGTAGGTCTTCCATCTAAAAACATTTTCTTAACTTCCAGTGGCCTCACCTAATATGCAAACCATTCTGGATGAGAGGGTAAGCCTATTTTCAGGAGGTCCATACATAAGCTTGAGAGCCACAGTATACAGGTGATTGTTTTCTTGCTGTTAAAAAAAAAAAATTTAAATTGACATCCTATTACAGGATCAATAGCAGGATTAATCCACATGCAGATGTGTTGGAATTTGGATTAGACAAAGCTTAACCATTTTGATGTAATGGCTTTCTCTGTCAGTGAGAAACTAAGTACCTAGTACTTTATAAAATTAGAACACTTATTGTATGAATGACTAATCTCTTTAGTCATTTCAGAAATGCCAGCTGAATAGGCATGAAAACTTGCTTGACCACATAAATTTTCTGTTGCTAAAGAAACAGCACCAATAGTAGGCAGAACTTAAAAAGGTATGAAATAGTGATGATTAGTGGTTAATTGGCCTTCACAAAATATGAGCAAGACTATATGCCTTAACAGCATTACATAATGGACAGAGGGTCAACCATTGAGCCAGAAAGACCTAGGTTTAATTTGCTTAGAACAGCAACCTTAAGAGTAAGAGATAAGTTGGTAATCTTCATCCACGTTTGTGGAGGGAGTTTAAATGGCTAGAGTTCTCCATATTAACAGAATCACAGATCCAGGGCCAAAACAAACAAATAAACAAATCCCTGCCACAGAAAGGGAAATTCAAATATTACCTTCTCTTGTGACTAAATCTTTATTACTATTATTATTATTATTTTAAACACACACACACACACCTCATAATGAGAGACTCCAACAGCATTGAAGGACACACGCAAGATGAGCTTACTGCTCTCAATGACAAAACTGTAGCCCTGCTGCATGGCTTCCTGAAGAGTAAGGGTTTGAATTCTGGGGCCATCGCCCACAATGACAGTCCAAGCCACCTGAGGTTCTCCACCCTGAAATCAAAAAGCCTTCTTAGAAGTTTGTGTCTAAATTAAGTCTTATAGGCAAGGTTAAACTCATTAGTTCAAATGTTTCATCCTTAAAGCCCTTTAAAATAAGCTAACGCCCATAAGTAGAGAAACGCAAGCTACCAGGAAATCTTTAGTTTAAAAAAAAAAAAAAAAAGACAAAAAACTCTTACCATAGTTTCATCATCAAAACTGGGTAGGATCTGTGAAAATGAAACCTGAAAGAAAAGAAGAATCATTCTAGCTTCTAAAGAAAAAAAAACTGTACATGATATTTACATAGTTCTTAAAGTTTATAGAGCACTGTATATACATATTAATTTGATCCACACAACAACTCTGTAAGGTAGGAACTAAAAGTTATTGCCACCATTATACAGATGGGGAAACTTTAACTTAGAAAAGTTAAATGATTTGCTCAAACTGTCCTGGCTAGTAAGTATGAAAGGCAGGATTTGACCCCAGTTATTCTTGGAAATATGGTACTTTTTGGGAGGAGGGGGAAAGAGAACATTAGGCTGAGAGAACTAGGAGTCTTTGTTCTGGCTTAGTAACAAGCTAATTGTACTGGAGACAGTTAATGAGTTTCTGTATCTTGGCTTCCTAATCTGTCAAGTTATGTGCCTGGCACATAGTAGACAATAAATGTTTGATGTTCGACTAGGGAATTTAAAATCTTAGAGGTAAAATGTACCTAGCCTCTCATCTTAATGTTCCTAAAGCCTTCAAAGGGTTTGTTAATAGAATTTTTCTCCCCCACCGAGCCAGTCTCTAACCGAGACTGCTCAGAGCTTCACGAAGCAGACCTAGAGAGGGAGTATCAGTAATCAAGTAGTTTAATCAGTTTCAGTGAGGAATGTTCTCATAGTTAAAGTTAAAGCACATGCTTAAATAACAACTGGGGAAGGTGGATTACAAACAATCATTTAGTGGTTTCCCATGAGAAACACACAAGTCTCACAAAACAACAGTTCTGGAGTCAAGTCTTTGGGGGTTGTGACCACCTCCCCTAAAGTACAGAACCAGAGTTCTGTGACAGAACAGGTTCTACAATCTTTGATTTGCTTCACTTAAGGTCCAGCGATTTAGCTTTAATTAATCAGTTTAAGCTGAATTGTGAGCTCAGACTCCCTAGCCAGAGAGGCAGCTCTTGAGAAAACTAAATTAGTATTCATTACACATATCATATTGATTAATATGAAAATTACAAATTCCTTTCTTAGGTTCATCCATGACTATGAAGGAAATGGATACAATTTTAGTTTTAAATCCTAGTTGTGTTTAAGAAATGAGGATTTTTTTAAAAAATGTAATATAATGTATAGAGATAGTAGAGAGAGCAGGAGTAGGGAACCTGCAGCCTTGAAGCTGCATGTGGCCTTCTAGGTCCTCAAGTGCAGCCCTTTAACCCAGTTCCAACTTCACAGAACAAATCCCCTTAATAAAAAGGATTTGTTCTGTAAAACTTGGACTTAGTCAAAAGGCCACACCAAAGACCTAGAAGGCCACAAGTGGCCTTGAGGCTGAAGGTTCCCTACTCCTGTTCTCTACACTGTATCTCTATCTACCCCACCCCTGGGTAGAGAACATACCTACTCCCCTACTTCTACCTTCACCCCACCCCACTTTCACAGTCAGAAAACTAGTAGCCTAGAGGAAGAAGCTACTTGCCCAGGATCATGGCTGATTGGAGTTCCTCTAACAGCCATCACCCTGAGCAACAATAGCTATTATTTACATAAAGTTTAAAGGTTTACTAAACACTCAGCATACATGATCTTATTTGATCCTTACAATAACCCTGGGAAATAGATATTTTCTCCATTTTACAGATGGGGAAAGCAGGCAAGTGTCCCAACCCTTAGTCTATTGTTTTATTAGACTCCACTAAAATCTTCTATTGGGTTTTCAAAATCATGACACCTGGCCTCAACCGTAGGCTCAGATGAGTAGCTACATTCTGGTGCTGAGTAGACATTTCAAGTCAACATCTGTATATAATGTTTGGGTAATCTGTAGAGAGGCACAGTCCCTGTTTTCTAGGAGCTAGTAAGGGTACCTAGTAGGGGTAGCAGGATTCCAAAACAAAACACCCAAGAGGTTGCTTACACTACCACATGTATAAAGAAAACCAAAAGTTGTGGAAGAGGCACTCTGAAAGCAACTAGAAGGAAAGTCAGATTGCCATACTCACAGACATGAAATCCTTGGTACAGTTTGTGGCTGCTAACATTTCACCTAGAACTTCATCAGCTTGAGTGGCAGGACAACTGACCTGGTAGGTTACAGCCTGGTTGCTCAGAGTCTTGTTGGGTAGGAATTTGAGTTTCACTTGATACATACCATGCTGGATACAGACAAAACAAGACACAGTTGGCTCTGCTATAAACTCTTGGATCAAAGAGATTTTGCAGTCTCAGAGGCCTGGAATACACCTATCACTTCCCTCAAAGGAAATTTTTGTTTTGAGCATCAGGAGGAAGTCCTATGAACAATTAAGTCCTTTCAGATGGTCTGCTGAGGTTGTACCTTTTAGTAGAAGGCCTCCTGAGCCACTGAGTTTGCAGTCTGTATTTTTCCCCCTCTAATGAAGTAGCCCAGTATATTTTTGGGTCCTTGATTTAAGTACCCAGAGCTAGACCCGCAGTTCTACCTTTGTTGTATTTGTTATTCAAGCTATGTCCTATGACAAATTTAAGAAATATATCTCACCCTCCAAGCCATGCCTGATACCTTTGATATCTGCTCCCATGTTCTAACCCTATCTCCTAGACTTATTTGCAATTCAAAAATTCTTTTTCTCTGGTGACCTTGAAGACAGGTAACAAGAAATGTTCTTGTGCACTACAACCAACATCACATAGTCTCATTTCCAACTCTTCCCCATTATTCTACTGATTAAGAAGTGTCTAATTTCACTTTAATCAAATTAGTGCTAGTGTCACCAAAGAAGCATCAAGCACATAGGGACAAACTTATGTGACTACTTATGGTTTAGTTTTAGGAACCCTAAAAACCAGGAGGTTGAACTAAATGTCCTCTAAGGGTGCTTCTAGCTTAATCAACCATAGATTGGTATCAGCTCAAACACCAGTGTTATTTACTACCTGTGTCACTTTAAAAAAAAAAAATTCCCTGGGTCTCAGTTTCTTTATCTGTAAAAATGGAATACTTACCCTGCCCACTTAAAGTTGTTAATAACCTGGATCATAGGATTTAGATATCTAGTATAATCACCTTACTTGGCAGACAATGAACTCAAAAAGGGAGTTGAATGACCCACAATCTCAGTAAGTGGAAGAATTAGAACCACTATGCCAAACCTACCACTAGCCAGTTTGTCCTTGGCATGCTATTTACAATTTTTAAAAATGGCTTATAGCATGGATACCTTAGATATATGGTTTCCAAGGCTTCCTCAGTGTTTTGTTAGTGATAAGCGCCAATAAATCAGAGCATTAGCTCTGATTGGCTGGCCAATATCACTGGCCTGCTCACCTATTGTAATGCCTATTGAGATAATAGCTTTTCTCGGCCACCTGTAATGTTTATTCTGACATCTTTTTTCATGGTTCAGTGATTTCCAATTTGCCACAACCAAAATAGCCTCCCCATTCAGAAGTGGCTCGTTTTCCCCCCCAAAACAAACACTTACCACCAGTTCAGCACAACTCTTATACATGGCTCTCAAGATGAGATTTTCTGAGGTCATAACATGATCACAACTCAGGATTTCATTACCAAAGGAATCTAGAGGAACCAGAGATGCAATTAGAAGGCCCAGAGCACCACAGAAGTTTCAGCAAAGTACCTAACTTCCACTCAATATTCAATGTAGGATTTGCCCTACAAAGACTTCCAATCCAATTGTTCTCCTAAGTTGATTAATTTATGCGTAATTTTTTTTTTTAAAAGAGTCAACTAACCCACAAGCAAAGCACATGAAGGCTTGTGGAGCAAATTATCCTTTCCAGGAAAGGCACAAAGGGATATCACCATGGGAACTGGCTCTCCCCTATTCCCAACCTTCCCCAGCTTTATGGAGCCTGTCCTACCCTTCAGAAATTTCAGCTGTTACAAAGTACTGAGATATTTATAATCCAGTGAATGCATTGAAGTTAGGGCTCGTGATTTTCCCATCTTTGTATCCTACCATAAGGTACTGCATGCAGTAGACGCCAAAATAATGTTTGTTAGAAGCTCAATCTTAATGAGCCTGAACCAAGAGCTGTCAGTAACGTGGGTCCAATTAGCCAATCTGCAAGACCTACCAACCACATATGCTTGCCAAGACTTGTTGCCAAGATCTTCAGGAAACTGAATCTTCATTTCATCATCATAGCAAGTGACTGTGCCTAGAAACCAGAAGTGAGTAACATACAGCTGTTTCTTCCCCATCCTCAAATGGGGAGGGGGAATTTCTACCTAGATATGGGAGGAAAGGTGAAGGGGATTACCTTACCCACCCCTAGGCTAATTAGGAGCTTCTCTTCTGACACTGAGAGGAGAAACAGCAGCCAACATACCTGGGAAGCTGGTAGTTGAGAAGTTACCAACCACTGCAGAGGTTACCAGGGCCACAAGGCAGAAGAGCCAGGGAAGGTGTGGGCCAGGGCTGAGGAGAAAAGAGAGAGGCTTTGGCTCAGCCAAAGAACACAAGGGCACCTCCACCCTCTTCACTTAGTGCAGGGGTCCTTACTCGTTTATCTATCACGGAGCCCTTTAGCACTGTGGTGAAGCCTATGAGTTCCTTCCCAGAATGATAATTTTAAATACATAAAATAAAAATACATTAGATTACAAAGGGAAATGGGGATTAATAAAAGCATAGATGTGTCTGAGTTTGATTTTTTTCCCCTCACATCCAAGTTCACAGACCTTATAAAACCCATCCAAAGGCCACAAGTCAAGAATCCATGCATCTGGTGCTACTCACCATGTCCCTTTAGGGTCCCCGGTTAACCTGACTCTCCTCCACATCGTTCACAGCAAACAAACCTCAGAGAGCTCAGCTCATAAACCTGAACTTATGTAGGGGAGGCTGTGCGCATGCAAGGTTTCCTCCTACTCCCCCCCCCAGGTGGTGCCTGGACCTTTGAGTCTCATTGAGAACACCTGGCTCAGGCAGAGAATTGGGACAAGCACAATGAGCACAAGCTGGGGGTGCTCAGAATCCCTCTAGAGAGAAGGGGACAATGTGATCCAAGGCCTTCTCAGCAGGGGAAAGCAGGCCTAGTGCTTCTGTTCCAGGGAAGCAGGGAATCTGCACAGTCCTGCGGCTCATCTGAGGCATTCCCCACCCCCTTCACCCCCAGCAAGTCTCTATTAACCAGGCACCTTGAAGTTGCCCAAGAGGCACCAGGTGAGTGGCTTGGAATACTTCTCAATGGTTGAGGAAAATCAGTCTTTAGCACCTGGTAGCCATGATACTAACCACGGTTGAAAGGGAATGGTTTTCACAGAGCTAGGTAGCTAGTGGATAATACCCTGAACCTTTGGACTAAGGAATACCTGAGTTAAAATCCAGCCTCAGATACTTACTAGTTGTGTGACCTTCTGTGTCACTTAACCTCTGTCTGCCTCAGTTTCCCCATCTGTAAATGGGAATAATAATAGCATGTACCTCCCAGGATTGTGGTGAAGATCAAAGGAGATAATATTTAGAAAGCATTTTGTAAGCTTTAAAGGGCTACATAAAGGTAAGCTTTTTTTCCCCCCAAAAAAGGAAATGGGCTGATTGAAAAAAGAAATAAGAGGAAAACAAGTTTAGTGTGATGTCTCTTAACTCTTCTACCACTGCAGTAGGATCAGAGAATTTGGATATGGAAGAGACCTACAAGATCATTTAGTATTATCTTTTAATACCTGAGGAAACTGAGCCTAGAGAGAATAAATGACTGCCCCAAAGTCATACAGTTGAACCAAAATTCAGACTCAGGGCCTCTGATCCCAAATATTCTTTTTCTATATCTCGATGCTGTGAACAGCTGGTGTTCTTCTTCTCCTCCTCCTCTTCCTCCTCCTCCTCCTCCTCCTATGTGTAAGTTTCATGGGCAGGAGCTAAAAACATACAGCCAAAAACCCCTTCAGATGCATGTCAGGACTATTTAACTACTGCTGAGCCACTGTGGACTTTTTCTTGAATTTGGCATCTAAGGATTCCCCCCCTCCCTTTTTTTTCTTTACAAGGATGGTCTTTTATGTAGGCAGTTGCTAGTTTAGCCTCACTTGAGGACCTCTGCTCCAAAATCTCCCCAACAGGCCTGCAATGGATACCTGCCACCATCATTAGATAATTCTTTCTTGGCATTACAGTTTTTCAACTCCAAGAATGTTTTGGCACCATTAAAATATCCTTGGAATATGTAACATCTTAAGCATTTGAGTGTTTTGGAGTTAGAAGGGAGGATCTTAGAGATAATCTAATCTAACCATCTCATTTTACAGATGAAGAAACTGAGTCCCAAAGAGATGGAGACAACCTGGCTTGTTGCTCTAGGAAACAAGAGGAAACAGAAACCAGACTGGTTGAATGATCTAGAATAAGTGAACGTGTGTACATTTGTCTACGAGCTATACTTCACATGCAGGAGGAAGCTTGCTGTAATGATCAAGAGGTGGCCCTCAAAGTCAGGAAAATCTGGGTTCTAGGTTCTAAGCCTTTGACAAGTACTGGCTCTGTCATCCTGGGCAAGACACTCTGCCTCTCAGTGCCCCCAAGCCAAGAGTGTAAGTTGCAGAACAGTTTTTGATCTGTATCAGTAGAGCGATTTTTCTCATTGGGAATTCTCCATACCAACGAAATTACAGAGTGAGACTGTGCCAAAACTCCTAAATGCTTCACACACAGTCAGCAGTGTGTGCTGTCTGAAAATGCAGGACACAATTTGGAGAATAATCTGCAGTATTCACACTTTCTCCATCCCTTCTGTAAGTCTAGACAATTAACAAAACGATAACTCAAGCCCTGATTTGTAGCTTCTGCTGATTTCCAAGATACAAATGCTCACACTGAAAATTTAACAATTGGTTCTAGTTTAACAATTGGCTCAAGCTGGCCTTGATCCAGCCCACCCTTGTGTACAGTCCACTTTGCTTCTGAGTGCAAAGATTAATTAGAAATATTCCACAGTCAGCACTAGGAATAAAGGAACTTGGGTTCTGCCACTAACTTGCCAAAGTTATATCACCTTTCTGGGTCCAGTTTCTTTATCAGTGAGATAAGAGAATTGAAAGAGATGACCTCTAACCTTCCTTCTAGTTGAGATATTCTGTGGTTAATGAGAAATATAGAAAATATAATTAGCCATGAATAAAATAGTATAAAATAGCATGGACCAATAGGAAGAACTTTGGCAGCAGAGCACCTAGGTTCAAATCCAGCCTCAGTCACTATTTGTGTGACCTTGAACAAGTCATTTCAGTCTCTGGGCCTCAGTCTTTTTTTCAATCTGTCAAAGGAGGAGGTTGGACTAGATGGCCTTGTAGGTCCTTTCCAGCTCTTTATCCATGATCCTATGAAATTGATGTAACCCTTTCCCAATGTCCATTGGGATGAGATTCTCTTCTTATATATTGGTCAAGATGAATACACTGACCTGTGTAAGGGGAAGGGTGGAGCTGTCAAAAGCATGAAGAGCTCTAGCCTTTGCTAGTCTCCTTCAACTCTTCTTTGGGGACTTATCAAAGAGTGAGTTGCTTCAGGCACTTCTGGCTTACAGCTTTGAGAGAGAAGATGGAAGAGACCAACTCCACTTTAGATTACTGAAGGAAAAGATTCTGGGAAGGCATGAGAGGAGCTGCCAGTCTTCACCATTCTCCTGTCCCCAGCTTGGTACACTAGAAACTTTGGGGAGTTTCCCCTTGGACGAGATCCAGGACACTTTCTCTTGGTTAAGCTGAGTTAATCTTGTTTCCCGTGAGAGAGTTCCTTCATTCTCTATAGTCTGGTATATATTCTCCTATGTATAACTTCTCTGCTTTTTGTTTTGCTACCAATTTGAATAAATACATTTTCTTTGCTATTCTTTATGCGTGTTCATGATGGAACTGGCATTTGTTTGGGAAAGGGTCAAACCTTGGATATAGAGCTTGGAGTCCCCCCAAAATGACAAGGTGATCAGAAGTTGTATGGAACCCTAGATTAATAACATTTAAGGGAGTAGATAGATATACTTCTAACCTGGTTACCCCTCTCAAGAGTGACCTCGCCCCATAACTTCCTGCTTCCCTTCCTGGCGGGAATTAAAGTCTCCCTTGGAGAAGAATCAAGGGAAAAGAGGTTCAAAGTCCTTCCTTTGAGTCACACAATTACACCCTTGCCACACATGGGGCCTCATTATACCTGAGGCCCTTCCATTCTTTTTTGTTGTTGTTGGTAACTGATGATTTTGTTTTATTTTTTATATTTTTTATTTTCACATTAGTCATGTTGTAAAGAAGAATTAGAACCAATAGGAGGAAACACAAGAAAGAGGAAACAAAACAAAACAGAAGAAAAAAAAGACAAATAGTATGCTTCAATCTGCATTCGAACTCCATAGTTTTTACTCTGCATGTGGATAGCATTTTCCATCATGAGACTTTTGGAGATGTCTTAGATCCTTGCATTGCTGAAAAGAGCTAAGTCTACCAAAGTTAGCCATCACAGAATGTGGCTGTTACTGTGTTCAACGTTCTCCTGGTTCTGCTCATTTCACTCAGCATCAGTCTATACAAGTCTTTCCAGATTTTTTCTGAAATCTGCCTGCTCATCATTTCTTATAGCACAATAGTATTCCATTACATTCATATGCCACAACTTGTTCAGCCATTCCCCAGTTGATGGGCACAACCTCAATTTTCAATTTTGTTTTTGATATTAATAAGATCTGCTGTATTTCCCTTGTCTTTGGTATCTTTCCCTCATTCAGATATTTCGTGTATTAATCTCTTGACACCATCATGATTGTGTCTCCTCCAGAATAGATACCCTCAAGGGCCCTTCCACTATCGCTACATTCAGTTTACCTGGGGGAAAAGATAGTATATAATAGAACAGGCTGGGATATCCATGGAGTTGGGCCCTTGCTAAGCAGGTAAATTTTGATCCTTTGATCCCAATGACATTCTGTTGAAGATGATTCACCACAGAGCTACAGTCAGGAAGAATCTCTAATCCCCAGTAGATTATAAAATAGATGAAGAGTGGTTCTTCTCTCTTGTTTCTTGATCACATCACTTTGGAACTCTGTCAGCTCTCTTTTAGACTTCCAGTGAAATTTCTTTCCCCAATCCTCCAGTAGAAATTGAGACTCTGTGCTCATGACATTGAGGATATGTGCTTGCCTGGATGATTGTCTCTTCTGCCTCTATGTTTCCTCCTTGAGTACAGATCTGCAAGCAGCAGGCAGCAGTCCTGAGAGATGGATGTTTTAATATTGGTCATTACTCCATAAGCCCTTAGGTTCCCAAGTTGGTTTTGGCTGCCTGGTGAAAGGTGTTTCCTGCACCTTGCACCATTTCTTGGAGATGACCCCTGAAAGAATCATTCTGAACCTACTAAAACTAAAGACCTAGTTGTCCAGGAGAACGAGACCTTGTGAGTAACTCAGATGGTTCAGGCCTGAAATGAAAGTGAAGCGACTGTTCAACAGTTTCACAAAATGCCTTTATATTTGAGGGGAAATTATAAGGATGGTGATGGACTATTTTTTGTATTTTAAATATTTGTTCATAGATAAATAAGGGCAGCTAGGTGGCACAGTGTACAGGGTGCCAAGCCAGGAGTCAGGAAGACTTATCTTTCTGAGTTTAAAACCCATTAGCTGTGTCACCCTGGGCAAGTCACTTAACCCGCTTTGCCTCAGTTCCTCATCTATAAAAATGAGTTGGAGAAGGAAATGGTAAACCACTCTAGTATCTTGGCCAAGAAAACACCAAATGGGGTCACGAAATGTCAGACATGACTGAATAACAACAACAATAAACAAACACATACA